CATAAAAAGCATAAATTGTGTATTCACATCCAGCTCACCGCTCTGCTAGCAAGATAGTGGGCGGCGTGGTAACACAGTACTGGCTCCTCCTTCCTAGACGTGTTGCGCTCCCTCTCAGGGCTTCCTCAGTAAGTTTTCTTCTTGAGGTGAGCAGGTTTTTCACCTGGTGTGGTGGAGGATCACTGAATACAAAGAACTGAATCTAAAGAAGAAGATATTCACGGAAGCGATACACCTCACTGAGGGGATTGTTTATGAACTCTTTAGTTTATCACTTGTATATGTTTTTCACAGGAGTATTTATGTTTTCTAACAATTACTAATTTAGAGAGGTGTGCTGCATTAGTAATTTGTGACTATATTTTCAAACAAACGGCATACCATCTCACAACAAACTATATATCACACAGCTACATGTCAGTTATGGGAATACTACATCATTTGCAAAGCACTTCGCCCACTAGCATTCTATGCCTCTGCACCATTGTGCTACACCAAGTAGTACCTCACACCCCCTACAATAATTCACCATCCACCCAGAAGCACTTAATCCCTTCTTCAGCATTGTTGATCCTTTGGCTTTATTCTTCTCCATTATTGATCCCCCTCCTAACAGCATTTTACGAGTCCCATCAGCATCAATTTTACTTCCCCCCATATCACTTCACAATCTTCTTCTTCAGAATACACACCAAAGCAGAAATTTCCATGTGTGTCATGTCCATTATCTTTAAAAGCAGTTTCCTTTTGTTATGGAGCTATGGATTCAACTATATTGACGATAGAGCTATGGATTCAACTATATATTGTCATTACCTGTAATTACGAATGTAATGCATACAACAACAAAAACAAAATTAACAAAATGAAAAATGTGTATAAACATGAAGAAAATTAAGAAAAGGGATAAGAAGTGTTAACTATACCTAATTATGGTTCAAGCCTGCGTGCAGGTTTTTTTTTTTTAAGTTTAAGTTTGTAAATGGAAAGCGGTACTTAACCCTCTCCACACTCTAGTGCTGATTTCCTTGGTCCAGAATCAGCATTTTCCAGGTTACAAGATGGCCGGTGTCTGGTTATTGGAGGGATGAGAGTAGGGCTTTAATTGGTTGGCTTTAATTGATTAAATAGTAAGATATAGTGAAATGGGCCTTGAATTCTAGAGCTCACAGCACAGGGATGCAGCTTACAAGAAGCTGCTGCATGAAACTTTTTGTACCCTATGTAGTGCATGGTGCAGATGTGGTACAAAAGCAAACTGGCAGGCGCGTGTGCAGGACATGGGAGCACTGGGCAGTAGTTTACAACCATAGTGAGCTTCAGTTCTTCTGCATTAGCCCAGCTCTGATTGTTCTGTACATTATGACGATTGTAAATGTTTTCTAGATATGAAAAAAGAAAATAATTGTCATCATGCATAGGCCTTATGTATGAAAATGTAGCTTTGCAGCTGGGTATCTGCTTTTAATTTTTTTTAACATACACTAGAAAAATAACCTTATTAAATATAAATACTTCCATGGGCGAGATTTCTAAATTTTTTTGCTGAAGAATGCATGAGACCACTAAGTAAAATAAAAATGAGATCAGACTGCATGCTTAAGCAGAATTGGCCATTACACATTTGCAAACTCCTTGCAAAGTTCTGACATCAGCTAACTGGAACAAGTATACAGGAATGTCCAACTCAGAAATGGGTATTGAAGGTGCTCTGTTCTGAGAATATATAACATTAAAATTTACATTCCACACAAGATCTTCAAACACTAATGGGAGTATATTGGTACTAGGCCAGCTGGACTTTGATGCCAACACTGAACTTTGTATTAAACATTGAAGTCAACATTAAAATCAATATTTACTTTCAAGCTAACTTCAAAGTCCATCCTAACTGTGGTACAGAATTTTAAATTCTTCACCCCACTGGTATTTCATCACCTTTTCTAGCCCCACTGCTGCAATGTTTTTTTTTTTTTCTACTTCCAATGTTATTCCTAATTCTGTTCCTTCATTATCAGTGTCTCCTTTGCTCCCTTCCCTTATGACTTGTCTAGTTTTGTTTATTGAACTGGTTTTCCTAAGGCATCTGTGGTAAAATTACCTGCAAAAGGGCTTATCTTCAATAAAAGCAAACATATAATGATTTAGGAAATGCACATTTTGCTTAAATTATTACAAGTAAAATGTAATTATTATTATTGGAAATCAAGATCAGCAGGGTTATAATAAAATATTGTATTGTAGAGTGATTTAAATTCTATTCAATGAACAAAGTAGAAGCATATACCTTAGTATCTTGCTATGCCAACGTTTTTCATGAATGTCCAAAGCACGGACCACCTAGTAAACTGAAATATTGATAGCTTTTGTTGTCATACACTCAACAAATTATTCTGATGACTATTAAAACCACCATGCACTGCACCTTACAATGTCTGTTTAGTTTCACACAATATACAGTAACATGAATAATACGAACACACTTTTCAAAGAAAAATACAATTATTAGTTGTAAAGAATTGCTCTGTACTGTATATGTAATAGGCAGTGCTCTTTCTGTGTTATTTCTTATTTCTCAAATTATTTTTTTTTGAGTTCTTGATGAAGTTTGACTATGGTTACTTTGACTTGGTCATTTCATGTGTGCATATTGTTTTGAAGATTTGTTTAGAAAACTCACTCTGGAATAACATTGTCAATTGAAGTGTCTGTGGATCTTAAAATGTTGGTTACCAAAGTCACAAACATGTGAACGTTAAGGAAAAAAAATACAATTTTGTATAATTCAAGGCATATAAATAATAGCAAAAGCACAAATGTCATGATGTTTAACATTTAGATGGAAAGTATTAGAGTTTAGCCCACATTGGATTTTCAGCAGCACCCCAATGAGCATACATGGACCAAGCAAACTGTCCATCAGTGCACTGCAACAAATGCTTTGCCTTGGAATACACTAGAAAAATATTAGGCAGAAACTTTTTTAAGCTAGGACAGGCTAAGGACTTAGAAAATCAGCCCACTGATTGCAGAGTGCGATGGCATGCCAATAATGCTTGCAAAAGTGTATTGGTCCCAAAGGATGTCTGGGAACAAGCATAATATTTAGAGAGCCTGGGAGAAGGGAGAAATCATTTCATAGTTGCTCTGGGTCAGTGATTCTGAAAGCAATGAAACCATTGGATCAGCCTGACAGCTAGGTAACCAGTATTTGTAGGAGGACCAAGGTGTCAAACAAAAGCTCAGTCCTGCAGATTACAGTGGGAGAGTGGTTCTAATGTAATCCCAAGAGCTCCAGTGTCAGTGTGACTGCAACTTGCTTTGTATCAGAAGCACTGACACTGCTCCTTATAAAATACAGCTCAATGGCCTAGCTGTCAAATTGATAGCAGAATTTTGTTGATTATAATAGGAGAGCTGTGCTTTTCTCAAAATACTAGTAATTGCATTAATTATAATGCTCTGGGTGCAGTATTTTTGTCCTCTCCAGAACTTTCCCCTGCAATAATTCTACTCTGCCACAGAAGGTCTGTCAAGGGTCATTCAACCTTGGAGTTCAAGGACATACAGTTAGTGCAGAACATCGCCACACGGTCCCACAACCAGAGTATTGATGCATCTCTTAGGAAAAGACATGAAGAGCAAGAGGACCCTGTGCATCAAACTACACTCACAGCCAAGTGTTAAAAAAACCCCAAGACACAAAGAGAGTACATCAAAAGAGTGGTGTGTCCCAACCCTCTAGCACCTCATATGTTGTATATGTGAATGCTGTTTATTATTAAAAACAGACATTTTTTCCAGTTTTCTCTAAATGAACCCATGCATACAGTTCTAAGTGATATTTGTGAGAAGGTATATATGAATATATTTCTATAATGTAAAACCCATATTAATATTACCATTATTATTGGTTTACTGTGATTAATCCTGGTGATACACTACCTCATAATCCTATCAACTTGATTTATCAGTGTGATCAGACTTAGATGTATAACAAATCTAACAAGTGTGCACTTAAATTAAACATTTAACCACTTCAATAACAGGCACTTTTACCCCCTTCCTGCCCAGGCCAATTTTCAGGTTTCAGTGCTCTCACACTTTGAATGACAATTGCACGGTCATACAACATTGTACCCAAACTAACATTTTATCATTTTGTTCACAGAACTAGGCCAGAGCTTTCTTTTGGTGGTATTTAATTTGGGGTTTTTATTTTTTGCTAAATTAACAAAAAAAACCCAAAAGTTTGAAAAAAAAAACCCCCACGTTTTTCTTTGTTTCTGTTATAAAAGTTTGCAAATAAATATTTGTTCTTCATAAATTTAGGCCAAGATGTATTCTGCTACATTTCTTTGGTGAAAATAACCCAAATCAGTATTTATTATTTAGTCTGTAGGAAAGTTATAGAGTTCACAAACTATGGGATATATCTTAAAATTGATCAGTCCTGAAGTACTGACGGACAATCTAATTTCATGAGGTCCGAGAATGTCAGAACAGTACAGATATCCCCCAAATGACCCCTTTTTGCAAAGTAGATATTCAGACGTATTTCATAAGAGGCACGGCGAGTTTTTTTTGAAGCTGTAATTTTTTTGTCATAATTTTTTGGAAAATTAAGAAATTAAAAAAAAGTCCCAATTTTTTTTTTACATACTGTCACCAATGCAGTACAGCAGCATCATCATATAAATGGTGTAGTGGTGATCAGGGACACTGGTGACAGTATGAAAAAAACAAAAACAAAATTTTTTTACATATTTTTTTACATATTTTTTTTCATTTTTTATTACTTTTTTTTCTTTTTTAAGTTTTTTTTCATATTGCACTTTGACCAAAGTAGTATAATGTTACCATAGTAACATTGTACTACTTTGGGGAAAATGATCAGTATTTTTTTTAACACAAGTTGATTGATTATAGCAAAGAATTTTTTTGCTATAAGCAAGCATTTAACTGAATGAAATAAATTAATTCAGGTTTTTTTGTTGTGATTAGCTGTGATTGGCCACGGCTAATCACATGACACAGATGGGCTGTGATTGGCCCAGCCTGTGCATGTGATCGCTGTGACCATTCACAGCTAGACAAACTTGTATACAATGGATGGCATGAAAGGAAGTTATCCATTATATACAACTGTCATGTGACCTGCTGTGATTGGTCACAGCAGGTCATGCGGTACTGGCAATGGGGCCGGTACACAGATCTGTCATCGGCCATGTCCAAGGTACATGGCTGGTGACAGATCTCACCGCAGCGCGGCCCTGTGCGATCTGGGAAGGGTGCCATATAGCGTCCTCCTGGAGGGACGAAGTGTTTGCCCGGCACCATTTTGCTATAGGCCAGGCAGCAACTAGTTAAACTAGTTTTTAACCCTTATCTATACCCAGTGAAGTGACTGGCCTCAGGTGATACTCAGAGATGAAACAAATCCTTCTACATAAGTTGTATCTGTTTATCTATAGCCATTGTTCCCCTGCATCCATTCAAAGTGCAGAATCTACACAGGATCTCTCAGCTCTGAAAAGCAGGGGGTGGGAAGCTGAAATTACCCTCAGTGAGTAGAGCTTGACAAGCTGATTGGAAGGAAGGGACACCCCCACCTTTCACACACCATAAAGGAATATAGCTGAGGCTGTTAACCTGCTGGAGCTCCCTCTCCTGTCACCTTTTTTTCTCCTGGTGTCAGGAAAATATGTCAGCAGGGATTCATGCTGATAACAGAGGAAGGAGGCAGCAGACAGAAATGACATGTAGTGTTCTGGACTGAGACAAGTACACGCTATAGAGGGATATGCTTTGTTCATATTTTATGTCAGATGTTTACAATCACAAGGTGTGTGCTATCGGTTTTGTAAGTCACTTCTGTGTGGGCCTCTTTTGAAGTAGTTTCAGATTGTTACCGTGATCTGACTTCCCTGACTTCAGGGCTTCAAGGTTTAGACAGAAAGAGCTGGGAAAAAATACAGATAAAATATATCAAATTATCACTAATGTATGCGTATTTTGCACATTGAATACTTAAAGCAAACCTTTTGTTCTTTTAATCTATAAAGAGTGCCAGCTGTAAGGAAATTAGGGCATCCTCAGACTCATATCCTTTATGATCAACTATTGCCTCCCATAACTCCTGATTCAACATTAAGGCCACTTTATGTGAAGGACAACTATAAAGTTGCAGAGGCAACAAAGAGCAGGCCAGTCTTTGACTTTCTTGAAGTTGTGATTTGCATACAATTGCATATGCATTTTACATGTTTTTGAATACTAGTGTATCCTGGGGTTTGGGGCTCCCAGGGCACTCTTTAATCACTTTATAATGGGATGTCATTAAAGTAAAGATACCCAGATCATACAACCCCTGGAAAAAAGTATGGAATCACCCCTCTTGGAAAATGTTCATTTATTTATTTAATTGTGTAGAATCACAAATACATGGTGATTCCATAATATTTTCTGCTGCTTGATCTGCAAAAACAGTTGCAACTGACTACAGTTTTCTTTCTTTTTTTTTTTTTAAGTGTTACTTAAAGCCAGAATGTTGGAATGTTAAATGAAAATAGTTTAGAGGCATGTCTGTGATTTGTTTTTTGTGTGATTCCTTACTTTTCGCCAGGGGTTGTATTTAGGAGCGTCAGTATGCACCGGTTACCTTGTAAATAACTCCATGACTATTTTGCGTACCTAAATAGGGTTCACGTTTTATTTAAGAACATACAAATAAGGCCTGTAGTCAAAACTCTGTTTTAATCAATACCGTTCCCTTTTTTAGTATAAGTTGATACATAAATAAAAATAAAAGTGGTAAAATAACTCGTACACCTAACACATAACATATTTATATGTAATGTTTTTACCTGTTTAACTACTTCCCATCTGGCCCATGTACATAAACGGCCAGACAGGAGCAGTGCAGGAGCCGGTGGCCGTTTATAAACGGCCTCCGCATTCACTGCCTGTGCGCGCTCTCTGGGACCGTACACAGCGGAACACTGATCGCTGTGTGAGGTCCCGATTCATGTGATCACAGCGGAACACCGATCGCTGTGTGAGGTCCCGATTCATGTGATCACTGATTGGCCAATCAGTGATCACAGGAACAGTAGTAAACAAGATGGCATTTCCTGACATCATTGCTTACTACATGTGAAATCTGTGAATGATCACAGAGGTCACATGGTACAAGGCTATTCACAAGAGCCTTGTACCATGTGACAAGCTGTGACCAATCACAGCTCTCACAGTATTTCTCAATGGCTGCAAGAATGTAGCCAGAGAGAAGGAGAAATGATTGCTTTTACAGCATTTATGTTAAAAAAAAATAAACCTATAATAAAATAAAAAAATAAAATTATAATTTATTTACAACTAATACGATTAGTTATAAACTAATTTGGGTTTTTTTTTTACTAAAAAGATAGATGAATACATTTTGGCCAAGATTTATGAAGAAAGACTTTATTTGCAAAATTTTATAAGAAAAATATTTTTTTTCAAAATGTTTGGACACTTTCATTTATATAGCAAAAATAATAAAAATCCCAGTGGTGAATAAATACCACCATAATAAAGTTTTATCTCTCTCAAAAAAATGCTAAAAAATTAATATGGGTACAGTGTTGCATGACCGCACAATTGTCATTCATCTATCAGTGACAATTGTCACTGAAAGCTGAAAATTGGCTTGGACAGGAAGGGAGTGAAAGTGTCTGGACTTGAAGTGGTTAAATTATTTTTTTAAACTGTAATGATTTATAGCATTATATGGGAACCATGATGATTGGCTCCTGATTATTGTCTGATATATGTGGCTGTCAGCAGCAGAGTAGTCCTAACCTAACTGTTCATAGCTGCAATGTAGATTAACATTCTGTCAACATGAAGACCCATGTCGGAGAATGTTAGTGTGTCTAAAGCCAAGGGAAAAAGGTAAGAATCTCAGTTAGTTTTTATTGTTCAGAATTGTCAATACAGGAGCACACAAAAATACCCTAAACTCCAGAAATTAATTAAAAGGCTCATAAGTCTGGCTACAACACACCTAAGGAAGGGGCCGTGTCCCAAAACACCTTGTCAGGACAAGTTGCTTCATCAGTTCTCCTGTGAGCACTTGACAGGTTTTCTATTATTACAGAGACTTTTATAGCTACTTCTCCTGGTTCCCGCAACGTTACTTCCGGTGACTCAGTGTGTTCAGGAAAACATTTGTTGGGTCAATGAGCATTATGATTCACGTGGATCTACATCAATGGACAACATGATTGATGATGAACATACATTGTGGTACTTTTGTCTATTAAAGGAATTATCAAAAACTGTATTTATCTGTTCCCATTGCTTCACTCTTGCCAAATGATGAGTCCAGTAAACAACAGCTGTTCTGAACAAAGAGACAGGTCTCCCAGGTGACATCATTGACCATATATGGACCATGTTTGGCTGATGACCTCACAGGATTCCTTTACACATTCACATAGGAGGGTTAGTATCTGGGTGCCTCCCTTACTGTTAAACAAAAGGGGCTTACAGAATTCCCCCATCAGCATATGCCCACAGCCACCAAGCCAGGGTTGTGTGGAAGAGACCCTTGTCCTCATTAACATGGGGCAAGGTGCTTTGCCAGGAGAGTATTCTCTGGCATGGTACACCCCATGTTGAGAGCATGTGGTCTGGTAGTGTTTGGGGAGGTACATGATTGCCCCCTTTCCTGGTCTGCCCTGCTGCAGGCTTGGCTAAGGGTCAGGTGTGGAGTTTTTGGGGTAATATTGTCCATTTTTTAACAAGAGTAGTTGAGGGGGGCTCTCCCCCGACATTTTTTTTTTTTGTGAGGTTCCCCTGAAAGGCCTAGTATGGATTATGGGGGGAACCTCCACACTGTTCTCTTTTAAACCATTCCAGTCAAGCATGTGTATATATGTGGTCTTCAGAAGTGGGTCTTTATCTATGGGGCCATATATATGTGCTGTTGTGTTTGTGCTGACAGCTCCATGTCTCATACAAACAATTGAGAACCGGGAGTCCTAGTTACCAATCACCCGATCACTGCATTAGCCATGATTGGCTATCACAGTGATAAGACACTCTACAGTCCTCCTCTGTGTTGTTTTCTCCTCTTGAATGGAGAAAAATATATATTGAAACTTGAAATATTGAAACCTACAGTATGTATCTGCTTTAAACATCATCTGTACAATATGTAGTCTAATATTTTCTAATGTCAGCTACTAAATATTGTGATTCAGTAGGTTAAGTGAGAGGGTGAAGCCTCGACTCAACTTGTTTTCAGAACTGAATTCTGAATTCCTATCTTCAGCCCTTCTTTTTGGCTCAAGACTTAGGCCACAAGGCCCTTTTCCCAATGAAAGGACACCCTCACTCCTAAGAGTGGGGGTACATCTGTTGTAGTTTGCTTTTTTCTTGGTAACAAAACTCATTTCAGAACTCTACTTCCTCACCACTTTCTTCTCTCATTCAACCAAATACTGCCCAAGGGCAGTCATATTTCCAGAGTGCCCTGGACCACCTCTTGTCCCAAGAAGTTGTCCTGTCAGTACCTCCACAAGATAGGTTCAAAGGATTTTATTCAAATCTGAACACACTACCAAAGCCCAATGGGGTGTTTTTTTAAAATTCTGGACTTAAAATCCCTCAACAAATAGCTCCAAATTCCAAAATTTTGCATGGATTCCAAAAAGTCAGTAATTGTCTCTTTGAGGTATAGGGAATACATGTCCTGACGAAGCTACGAGGGGTGTGGCATAACGCGTAGACGCACTTTCAGTCCAGCACCATCTTGGTACACCAGAGTGCTCTCAGTATACCTATGTGAGGTGATACACAAAGCAAATTGTTTCTCTGCTGAAATGTGAGTTTGTACTTGGCGTTTCTAATTGTATTAAACCTAACATACAGTTTTGCACTATGGAGGATCTCTGTTTTCTTATTGTATGACTCCAAACATCATGCGTATATATGGGTATATACATTGCTACCTGTCCATGGAGGAATAGTTGGAGGTGGAGGAGAGATCACTGAGGCTTGTGGAGTAACCTTTACCTGGAGAGAGCGTGCAGGATCCTGGGTGATCTGCGAGGCGTTTTGGCCCCTGTGGGTCGCAGGGGGAAGGTGAGCGGGCATGTCTGCCATATAGGATTATCACTTTCCACTTGCACCAGCACAGGAGCATGTTTTGAAGAATTTTTTGTGTGCTGTTGACATGAAAAACACCGGTTATTGTGGACATTTGTAATAGCACTGCTGATAAAGCTTATAGAGACCACCTATACAAGGTGACCTATATCCCGATATAGGGAATCACTGTGTGTCACTTTAATGTTGGAATGATCACTTGGATATTTATGTTTGATTTATATTGCACTAATCACCCACAAATGTCACTTGTATAGATCCGGTTGATCTAAAAATATCAGGTATTACTTTAGAAGCAATTTTGCATCATGCAGTAAAAGGGTCACAGTATTGCTTTTATTTATAGCGCTACATCATTACTATATAAAAAAAATTAATACATAGCACCCAGAGACATCCAAGATGCTTATCTGCATGTTTCCATTTATCCACCTCATCAGGGCTTTCTGCTGTTTGTAGTAGCAGACAGTTATTGCCAGTTTGTTGCACTGCCTTTTTTGACCTATCATCTGCTCCCAGAGTATTCATAAAGGTCCAAACACCTCCTCTTGCACTTCTCAGAACTCAGGGCATCCAGGTCACAGGCTACCCGAAGAGCTCACCTCCAGCCATCAGCAAGCTTTCACTGGTCAATTCAGATGCTCCAGGCTTTCAGATGAGTGATAAGTTTGAAATAATTCTGCCCACCAGCCTTCTCTTCACCTGTAATATTTGGGTCTGGTCCTGACACATCCCAAGCAAAGGTTTTCCTTCCAGAAAATTATTTCTTTAAAGTGATACTAAAGCTAAAAACATTTTTTACCTTAATGCACTCCTTGAATTAAGGTAAAAAAACTTTTTGCATTTCTCTGCCTTCCCCTGCCCCATGTGAAGGGGAAGAGAGGGGAGAATAGATCCAGCACTGTGCATGGCTGCATCTCTTTTCCCCTTTCTTCTTATTCACACAGCAGTTGAGCAGCAGCAGGAGCAGATGGCTCCTGCTGATGTCAATCAAATGCAGTGAGGAAGAGGTGGGTGGTGGGGCTAAGTCCCATTGTGTGAGTCTATGGAGCTTGGCTCCATAGACACACAGTTCTGGAGGGAGTAGACACTGTGTGCCTCCATAGCAAACGGCTTGCAGTGGGGACTCACTAAGAAGAGGAGGAGCCAAGATTGTTAAGCCAAGTACTTGAGAAGAGTAGGATTGGGCCTGCTCTGTGCAATACCAAAGCACAGAGCAGGTGAGTATAACATGTTTGTTATTTTAATTAAAAAAAATATTTAATACATTAAAGCCCATGCTCAAGACTTGCGATCAGACAGACATCACACAATGAGATTCTCTGTGAAAGTCTTAAGCCTCATGGTAGCCTCCTTCAAGTCTGTACCATTTGCCCACTTCCATTCAAGAGCTCTCAAACACAACATCTTGTCAACCTGGAACAAGCATGCTCCTTCTCTTGACCTACTCATGCTCCTGCCCATCCTAGAAAGGAACTCCCTATTCTGGTGGAATTTAAGACCTTCCTTAACAGTAGTGAAGTTTTTCCTTCCCTATCACCGGAAAGTCATAACAAGAGACACCAGTCTTTCAGCCTAGGGAGGAGTGTTCTAGTCCCTCATGGTCTTTGGAACCTAGTCACCAGTGGAAAGCAAGCTCCTCATCGAGCTCAGAGCAGTTTGGATGGCTCACTGGACCCCTGTTCTGTGAGGACACCCAATAACGGAGTAGTCAGACAATGCCACTACTGTGGTTTACATCAACCACCAAGGGGGCAACAGGAGAATGGCAGTCTTGAAAGAAACAGTCAGATAATCTCATTGATAGAATCCAGCTGTCGAGTGATTTGTGGTCCACATCCCAACTTGAAAGTGGACTACCTCAGCTGCCACCACCTGGAGCAGGGGAATGGGCCCTTCACCAGGACCTTTTTACTCTGACATGTCAGAAATGAGGGACTCCAGATGTAAAAATCCTAGCCTATTCCATCTTGATTCACTGTTTCTGGCATTAATGGTGTGGTTGGTGAAGCCCAGGTCTTAAAAGATAGAAGGGTCTCTGAGTCTGTTATTATTACCTTGCTACCTGGAAATCCTTCTTTATCTGGTGTGAACACAGAAACTTCAATCACAGAGATTGCTCTGTGCCTTGACTCTTGGCCTTCTTAT